GGACTGACTGGCCTGTCGAAGGGCGAGGCGTATGTCATCACTGGTATGGTTAGGCAGAGGGCTAATGAGACCAAACTGTGGACCACTTTATGTGAATTTGTCAGAAAGTTGTCCAAAATGAACAAAAATGACCTGGATTTCATTTATAAGGATTATAATGTCACTGAATGTCCGAATAAAATTAAATAATTACTAAAAACTTTTATTTTTTGTAAGTAAATGTAAATAATTATTTAATTGTAATTTAAATTTCGTACAATTATCAGGGTTAGTCTATTTTAAATTAAATCTATTACCATTGTAAATGTAATACACACTTGTAAGTGTACATCACCTCATATACAATATTTGTATAACTTTTATTCATTTATAATTTAATTTTAAAAATATGAATAACTTTATTGCACAATTACATTCACTAATTACACTTAATAAATATGTAATTAAAAAATGAGTATTAAAATTTGCATTATTTATTATGTGATATTTTTAAAATTATATTTCTATTAATTAATGGATTACAATTTGCCCATTAAGTGCATTAATGATAATAAATGAACAAATGATAAACTTGTGTTTATCAAAAATACAGCTTTTAAAAACTATTTTGTAATATACGCAATGTAACTTTAAATAGACCCAAGGAACATAATATGTTATCTAATCCATACCTCCACTGACAATTTTATCCGGGATTATATCTTTAGATCCTTTCACTTATCATATACTATGAGATAAATTACATTTAATTTCATATAAATATCACTTTTGTGTGTAAAATAATTCATTAAATAGTTCATAAATTCAAAATAGTTTTCTACTGTATATAACTATTGTATTAATAAATAACTTAAACTTCATAATAAACATGAAATTACTGACATTACTGTCATTCATTGGTATGATATCCCTGTCCATCGGGTGCTCGTGTCGTACAATCCACTGGACAGCCAAACAGCACTTCTGTGCCGCGGATTTCGCGTTTGAAATCCACGAAAATGGTATTAAAATCCAGGATCCGCTCGACAATAGGAAAGCCTACTTCGAGGTCAACGTAACCAAAGTATTTAAAGGGGACGACAGAGTGAAATCAGCCATCCTTTCGGGACAAATCCATACCATGTATAGCGAGGCCTCCTGTGGCCGGGACTTCAAGTCGGGTCCCGTAGCCATAATCACCGGTTCCCTCGATACGGCCGAAAACAACACCCTTTGGACTAATTATTGTGATTTTTATAAAATACCCGAATGGTTGACCCCGGAGGACATACAGTTTTTCGATACCGGCTATAAGACTGTCGTTTGTTAAGCAAAACAATTTTATAATTAAAATAAGTTTATGATTTTTAATCTAAATTACGATTAATTATTAATGTTTTTTAACATTATGTTTTTGTAAAAATTATGACATCCTAGTATGAATTAAAATGTTATAATTAATTAGAAAAATAAAATTTAACACAATTTTAAAATTTTCAGTATATTTGTATTTAAGATAACTAATTTAATGAGTAATTTTATGATCTTGGTGCGTAAAGAGATTCAGTGCTAACCCACAAAATTGCTACGACAGATCATTTTTGTTATCACCGCAAGCTCTTTACACGTATCAATTTTTACCCGGTGTTTTTTAATATTCAAAATCAAATGTTTATAATACTGTATTCAAATTTTAACATTCAAAATGTAATTGAGATTAACTTGTTATTTTTATATAAAGATTAACAATACTTGACAAAGTCACACCAGAATCACTATTTTCATTAAGCATATTATTTTTTGTGTGCTGTTAATTGTATTATTGCAAATCTATAGAAACGTTTATTATAATATATGGCAAATGGTGAATTTAAAAATAAAAACGCATCATGTTAGATTTCCCGTTATGTGAATAATAAGAATCATTATCATGGTGATGTGCAGTAAAATCAAAATCATCATGTTGGTGCCCGAACTAGTAACCTTAGTATCATTTGTAGTTTTCACATTTCTGCTTGATGTTTGTCTTATTAATATATTTGTGACTTACTAGTTAATTAGATTTATGTTCAGTACAACTTTCTAAACCTTGGAAAATCATGATTAATTAAATTTATTGTACATTTTAATAATTGAATTAAAAGTTTAGCTAACAATCTCATTTAAATAGTTCTTGAAACTTATAAACAAAATAATAATGTGATAATGAAAACAAAATAGCTTGTTAACATGATGTTTACTCCAAATTAGCATCAAAACATATCAATTTAAAATATATCAATAGTACAAAAACTAATTATAAATTTGTAAATAACTAATCATAACAAAAATCTACAACTCATTGGACTTTTGTTTATTCAATCTGTCATTCGCTTCGAGATCTAAGACTTTGCGGACAAACTTCTTGAGATCGTCGGCCATGAGTTTGGGCTCCTCGAAGGCGCCGAAGTGTCCACCTCTTGGCATATCTGTGTATTGGACCAGATTTTTGTACAAATATTGCGTCAACTCTTTGGGCGATCGCAACAACTCATGAGGAAAGTCAGCCACAGCCGCGGGAACGGCAGCCGACACTGGAATCCTATGAAATAGGCAACAGTTAGACTAAATATGACGACAGCAAACTTAATTGTCACTCAACTGATCCAATTTGTATTCGTAAAACCTGGTTAAACTTTCCTTATAGTAGCGCATACTCGACGCCACGTTATTAGAGGTCCAGTAAATCATGATATTTGTGAGCAACTCGTCTAACGTGAACTTCTGGGTGAGAGCGCCGTCCGATTTGCGCACGTTATCCGGGTTAGTCCACGTCGAGAACTTTTCTAATATATAGGCGGCTAAGCCTACGGGACTGTCTATAAGGGCTGCGCCGATAGTGTCGGGTTTAGTAGCCTGGAGGTGCATATAACCCGATTCGCGTAACATGAAGTAAAACTTGTCCAAAGCTGGATACGATTTCTGGTAATCCTTATCCGGATTTGCAAACACCAGACTCGGCGCATACATCCCGGTTATGAACTTCACTAATGCCATTCCCTTCAGGTTCATATTGCCAGAAAATGTGGTGTGCACTCCGCGTATACTATTCAATGAAAACACATTTTAAATATACCGGTAAATTTATAAGTTAATAAATAAAGTCGCATACTGTTCCGGGTATAGGGTTGCCATAGTCTTAGAGATGATTGACCCCCAGTCCCCTCCGTGAACGAAAAAGGTCTTGTGGTTGAGTCGGTGCATGAGTTTCAAGAATATCCGGGACGTTTGGGTCACATCNAGTCGCATACTGTTCCGGGTATAGGGTTGCCATAGTCTTAGAGATGATTGACCCCCAGTCCCCTCCGTGAACGAAAAAGGTCTTGTGGTTGAGTCGGTGCATGAGTTTCAAGAATATCCGGGACGTTTGGGTCACATCAAAACCTATCATCAAACATTATTTATCATTATTACTATTATAAAATGTATTATAAATATTATTATTATTATATACTATATGTATTATGTGTATTATTATATGTATTATTAAATGTATTATTATTATTGTATTATTATTATTACTTAAATATTATTTTTTGTCATTTTTTGTAATCTAAACAATTGGTTATACCGTACATGTATAATATTTATAGTAATTTACATTTTAACGAGAATAACACAATTATCTATTAAACTCCTGTTCACTGTACGAGTACTTCAAAAACAAAATACATTTGAATAGAAAAATATCATACAAATGAAGTAAAAATAAAATTGTTTACTCGTTTGTGTTATTATTACACATAGCGAATAAATCATAATTATCATGTTTATATAAACTGATTATTAATAATTTAAGTTAAATTTTAATTGATAATTTTAATTTTAACTGATATATAAAATTGTTTACTCGTTTGTGTTATTATTACACATAGCGAATAAATCATAATTATCATGTTTATATAAACTGATTATTAATAATTTAAGTTAAATTTTAATTGATAATTTTAATTTTAACTGATAATTTTAAAATGCATACCCGGCTGATGAGGTGCCTCTGAGAACCCATAGCCCGGTATTGAGGGACAGATAATTTCAAAGGCAATATCATTTGTTGGCTCAATTAGCATCGGTATAGCCTTATAGTACTCCCAAACTGATCCGGGCCATCCATGGATAACCTATTCATAGGAATAGACAAATAAAACTTAAGTAAAACTATTCATAAACTCCAACCAAACTGACCATAAGAGGAACGACGGTTTTTGCGGGTTTTGAGGGCTTGACGTGTAGGAAGTGGATATCGATGCCATTGATCTTGGTGGTGTACTGGGTGAATTTGTTAAGCTCCTTTTCCTGGGTGCGCCAATTGAATTGTGTGCGCCAGTGGTCGACCACTTTCTTAAGGTAATCGGCGTTAAAGCCGTAATTAAATTGAGTGCCGGGTATGGGCTCCACATAACGGGCCGACTCTAACCGGCGCTTCAAGTCGTTGAGCACTTCGTCCGACACTTTCACCGAAAACTTATTGATATCCTCCGGGTCTTTAGGTATGGCCTGTCCGGCTGTCAGTTGTTTAAGACATAATAAATAACTTGTATTAATAACTTATTTTTAGAAATAGACTGTTATGAAAGTTTTGCAACTTGTTCACTTACCTTTAAGTGCATTTTTACCAAACCACAGCTCCGGTATGTGAGGCAATGGTGGGTCAGGTGCCAAAAACTGTGAATACAGGACGGCACCGATAGCCACAACTATACCTAATAAGACTATTTTCCCAATAAAGCCCATGTTTTAATTAACCAAAAGACAAATTAATTAATTAATTACACAAAAAAATGTGCAAAAAACTTTGAATTTAGAAATACTATGAATTAAAATAACAAGTAAAATATGAGACAAAAACTCAAAACCAAATGCAATGTTATGTAAAAGTTGTGTAAAACTGGTGTTCAGTCTCTCCTATCATCTTTATTTGTCTGGTTTACTGTATATACTGTTTACTGTAAATGGAAATTATATAATTGTTGAGTGCCTTTAGGACAGACAGACATATCACAGTCACAGAGCTAACTGTCCTTGAAGTTTGGTATCGGAACAGGTTTTGCACTCATATTCCTATTCCACACTTAACTACTAAAACTGCACTAAAAGTATGGTTTAAACTA